ACTCCTAACAAATAACATCACCATGGAGGGTTTAGTTAACTGCAAGCTTAATGTTGTCCTGCAGTGTAACGTGGCTACAGAAATGTATACCAACTCTGCAACTTGAGCATGGACAGCGAAGTGGTCTCCCTGCTCATGCTGGTCCTGTGAGGACTGTTTTTCACATGTTGGGATACGTGTTTAATTCTGGATATCAGCTTTTAAAGGGAACCCAACCCAGATCGGATCATCAGAAGATGAGGGTTTGAGAGAGACCAAGCCACACAGGAACAATACACGGTACTAACATTACATTCTGTCCGCTTGTTTCTATCTTACTATTTGGTCACTGTATTTCCCCTTACCTCTGGTCACTGTATTTTAGTTTGGTTATGAGAAGTCAGAGGAAAAATTGCTCAGATTTTACTAATATAGACTTCATTATAACAGGAGAACCGGTAGCTGTAGGTAGAGCTATCAGCAGTATTGATCTTGATTTCTGACCTTATGTTTGCCTGTGTCTTTATTCTAATAGAAACGTAAGCGTAATATGGAATGAACACAAGATCAGAAGCTAGTGTATACAGTAGAGCTTTGGAAATTTTAATGTATTAAGGAGTTACCCAGGGAGCTTGTTAAAATGCAGATTCTGATTACTTAGGTCTAGAGTTTGACTTTCTAACAAGATGTCCAGTGGTTAAGGTGGTCTGTGGCTCACACATCCAGTTGACACGCACCTGGGTGGAAGGAGGTGGTAAAACCCGTATTTGTCAGCTTTGTAGAAGCGATCATGATTTTAAATATTCCAGTTCAGTTTTTGACTACTTGCCATTTTTGATAAATTCTCCACTTAGTTTAAAGATTGGCAAAGACTTAGCAAATGAAAAGAAAACCCTGCCATTTTTACACTTGAAGATCAGCCTTGTATTTGCCAAAGAAAAGGATTTTTAGCAATTAGCAAAGGTGAATGCAGATCTATGTAATGAATTTCATGCTGACCCATAGTTGACCCAATTTTTTTCATTTTTAAATATTTATTTTTGCTTTCTATTTTAATGCATGCAAAAGCTGCAGTGAAGGACAGAGATGCTGGGGTGGGGGGATATGAGAGGATTTACCAGAGGCTGAGTGGGCATAGGACAGGTGGATCTGCTGAAATGCACTGTGAGGGAACAGTGAGTGGGGCAGTGAGTTGTGGCATGTGGGTCAGCTCCCTGGCTGTCCTGCAGTGGCTGTCAGTAGCTGCATAGTGCATGAGACTTAACCATTTGCACCACCAGGGAGGCCCCTGTTTTAATTTTTGTTGGTGCTTTAGCAGCATTTGTTTTGGGGTTATGGAAATACCTACAGAGAGAAGGGGGGAATGGAAATGAGGAAAAGGGGTGTATTGTCTGCGAGGATCCATTGTCCTTTCCTAGTTTCTCTTGGGCTCTCAGCCTAGAGGTTTATGACACTGAGAAGGTCAGACACCAATTCTGGACACTGGGACAAGCTGCTAGTCTTGTCAGCGTCTCACTCTCCTCTTGTGTCTTCTTTTAAACCAGAAAAGATTGCGTGTCTATGGGAGCCTTCTGGGAGGAGCCAAGAAAGGTTCTTTTCTCCCCATCAAATCTTGAGTGATCCCTTTGTCTGCCATCTAATCCTGAGTGATTCCATGTGTAGAGAAGGGAGTTTTAGGGCCTGGAATGATCTGACAGGTTTTTGAGCACTGCAGCATGGTTACCTGTTTGTTGACTTGAAAGTAGTACTTGGGAATAACACTTGCATGCACAGAGTGGGGAGACTAACAGGAGGATGCTGGGAGAGCCAGAGAATGGGTGTTGGTGATAGGTAGGGAGACGATTTAGGGAGTGTTGTGAGAAGTGAGTGGGCACTGTTACTTGATGGTTAGGGCACATGGTCAGAAGGTGGAGGGGCCCCTGTGTGGAAGGATTTTTTCCAGGAGATCCGTGTGCCCCTGTGCAGGCCAGCCGCTTTAGGAGTAGTTACTGTGGGGAGTGTCAGTTCAGAAAACAGTTGTAATTTCAATCACTTCACCTAAAAACATCCAGCATATTCCACAAGGTTACTGGCTGGCTGCATATGGGTAAGGGCAGATGGGAAGAGTGTGATCAAGCTTGAATTTCTGTTGTTTGCAGAAATGTGTTTTTGAGCACTTTTCATTTATCGGACATATTCTAGGTGCTGGATAGGGTGGTAAACAGGATACCATGCGGATGCCCTTTAAATGGTTGATTAAATCAGCTTTGGAAAAGGGGAAGGTAAATGGGAGCCTGTGTATGTACATGTTGTGCAAACTCAGAGAGGAGTTTATATGTAAAGTTGTATGACCTGTAATGATAGGTGATGAGTTCTCTAGACATTAAGCACGCGGACAGTTCTGCAGTGTGGGTGGTGGGTGGATGGCCCTTTACTCTCTTCAGGATGGCCCTGTGTTGTCCCTTGGTCGGTTGGCACAGGCTTTTAGCATTTAGGATTCCACCAGGGAGGAATGTAAGCTTAGAGTAGGGTGATTCATTGTTACTGCAGCTGCAAAATGCAGTTTAATAGTTTAATTCCTGAATTACTATCTTCTCTTGAGCGCTTGGAAACAGAAGTCATTTTATTACCTAGTAGACTGGTGGTATCTTACATCAACATAGAGGCAGGTGACAAGTCTTGACTGGCCCTCGAAATGATGAAAGAACAATTGTTTTTAAAAGGGGAGGTGGTTGATTTTTAATATCTAGCTTTTGAAAACCCATCATCTGTGCCATGGATTGGCTTTTCCTGTATCTAAAGTACTTTATAGGTATGATGAAGCTGCTTATGTCAGTAAGTGACTCTTAAAAAATGCATCCTCTTTTATGGGACTTTTCATCTGACATGGTAGATGGTACTATTAGATTTTAGTCGTGGGGGTATAATTCTCTCACAGAGGCCTGAATGAAGTCGGGAAAAGGCACCAGCACGAGCAGGCATTAACAGCAATTTTGCACTGAGGCTAATTTAGGTCTTTGTAATTTATAAGTTGTGTGTGCAGGCAGTAACAGCTTACAGTCAATGCCCCTGTTTGTTGTGGAGAAGTCAGCCATGAGAACAGGAAGCTGGCGCTGAGGCAAGTCTGCTGGTCAGTCAGGCAATGTGGGTCTGGGTGTGGGCCTTGGTGCCATGGTGGTGCTTCAGTCTCACAAGGGGTGCCTCCATGGTGAGGCATTCATCTCGGGGAGTTTACAAAGTCAAGGGATTGGCTGTCAACGTGGATTCAGCTTACTTTTCAGGTTGACTTTTTGACTTCATGAGAGGTCTAGATGGAGTGTTGCTGTTTTCTTTTTCAGCCCTGTGATAGGAACATCTTCAGTGACTGTTACCAATAGCAGTTAAGAAAGCTGCTGCATTCCTTCTGTCAGGTTGAAGCAGAGTTTGCTGGCTGCTTTGAGCCTTCACATTTAGACCTTGACCTGTGTGATGTCTTGCCACGGCTCTCGTGGCTACCAGAAAGACTGGCCACATGCTCTTCTTCTGCAGGGGCAGCCGGCAGACAGAAATCTCAGCCTGGCAGGCCTTGGGCTGGAGGCCGGCAAGGGGCAGGTGGAAATCCTAGCTCTCTGGCGTGGCCTTCTCTGCCCCTCAGTAGGGAAGACAGAGGCTGAGCTAGGAAGATGCAGAAGAACTAGGAAGTTCATGAGACTTAACAAGAGTGCTGCTTGGTTATTTAGAGCTTAGAAGGTATATATGAAGTCGAATTTCTAAGATGTAGCCTGTGTTTATGCTAAGTGTAGGAATCGTGAACTGGAAAAGACCTCAGACACTTCAGCCCCTGGAGGCTGTGTGTGACCCACGGCAGTGAGTAATATCAGTGTAGACAGCGCCGAAGCCACTTCCAGCTTGTTCTAACTTGGAGGTATCTGGCTGCCTGTTTGAATTAGAGGAATCTGGATAATCAGGACTGTGCCCTTTCTAAAAAAAGTTTTTACCCACTGTGTTACTGTTTTCTTTATTTTTGTCTGGCTCGGAATGTCTGAGAAGGTCACATACTTGTATCTTTACATGAAACTCTTGTAAAATGCTTGTCTTGTTGTGGGTGTGTATGTCCAGGGACTCCTTGCAGAGAACAGTAACTGTCATTTGCCATGGGAACCAACACTGTCCCTTAACCCCCTCGCTCTTCCCCGGAGTGTTTCCTCAGTTTGTATACCCACCACCTCTGTCTTCCTGGACTTGGCTCTTCATCCCTTTCAGCCCTTTTTACCCCGCTTTCTTTGTTGTTTCCTAAGATTACACTTTGATCTCCACTCACTCATGGAATTGTGGGAAATGGTCTCTGTTGACTGCTCGTTCTTCACTGCCCCTTGTCCAGTCAGGCCTTCACTTTGTTCCTTCTTTTCAGAACACACATCGACTACGATATGACAGGTATAAGAGAACTCAGCTTCAAAATTAAATGTTTAAAATCTCACTCTCCCCCAAGGCTGACTTATGTTCTCTCTTCTCTAACCCAGATCCACTGCCTTTCTCTGCAGTGGTCTGTCTTTTCACTTTACGACTGACTTCTGACTATGCCACTGTAGGTCCAGTTTTCTTCCTTTTTATTGACCTGGAAAGTACTCGAAGATATCAATAGTACCAAACCCCAACAACAAAAAACATTTCCCAAAGAGTGCAGCCTCTGTTTGTGAGGACATATGTATTCTGATGTCACTTACTGACTTTATGAAACTTGAGGGGACAGGGTATCATGACACACTCCTTTTTCTAACCTTTGCCAGGAATCTAAAACTGCAGCCTTTCTAGTTAAGGAGGGCATTTGCATTTGCCCTATAAAAAAAGTGAGATGGCTGTATTTTTCTAGTCTTTCTTACAGCCCTTGTAAGGTCTTTGCAGATTTGGGATAGGCACATAGCATATAATTCTGATCTTCAGCAAGGTGTGGGTTGTGTTAGGAATTCCTGTTAGGAAATTTAAAAACATTTATCCTGATTCAGTATTTGCTTGCTGTCTTTGAAGTAACTCCCATTCTCCCCTTTCTTATATTTCTCCAGGATGACAGTGATGGGATTCCATGGTCAGAAGAACGGGTGGTACGTAAAGTCCTTTACTTGTCTCTGAAGGAGTTCAAGAATGCCCAGAAGAGGCAGCATGGGGAAGGCCTCGCTGGGAGCCTGAAAGCAGTGAATGGTGAGTTGACTGGTTGGAAATGGATGATCCCACTTAGCACAGGCTTGTTTTTGAATCGGGTGTTTTGGGCAGCCCGTGCATCGCAGGCTAGGCCCCTAATGGCAGTTACTCTGAACATCCTGTTGGGCGTATAGATTCATTTTTATGTTCCTTTAAATGCTGCATCATGCAGTGGCCAGGTGCCTTAGTTCCCTGTAGACAAGACTGGGGCTGTGATCTGATTTCTGCCAGTTCCCGGGTTGGCTGTGGTGCCACACAGTCTTACAGGTTTTCCTGTGGTTACCTGTCTTGCTATCCCAGTAGAAACCTTCTAGTTCTTATCCACTGCTTGTGTAGGAAATAGCCTAAGTTTACTGCATGCCCACTGTCTGCACAGCTTTCTGACTCTACAACGTCCTGATTTCCTGCTTCCTTCCTTGCTGATCAGCTTGGCCACAGCTTCAGGTATACAGTGGCATAGGATTCTTGTAGCAACTGGATCCCAGGAGCCTGAGAGGAAGCTTAACTCTTACTTGAGTTTTACTTTGGTGTCCTTTTTTTTTCTTTAAGAAAAAAAATAAAAGTTAGTATGATGTAGATGAAATCATCCAGTAAAAGCCATTTCAGAAAACACATTTGATTAAAGCCTACATTTTTTTGGGTGGTTGTTGCTTTGTTTGAGGCATACAGCTGTGGGTGTCATTCTTCAGCCTCTTGTGTATTTATTAATCTTTTGGAACGATAGATAAATGTGACTGAATGATTATGTCGTGGTTTGTGCAGAGGAAGCAGAGATCTGCTTCTGTAGACTGTCTACTCTGGTCATGGTAATAGAGTTATTACATGTGGGGATGTGGGGTGCCTGACAGCCCATCAGGGTGCAGGGTGACAGCTTCACTGCAGCCTCCACTTTTCCCAGCTGCTCTTTGTAAGGTGTCCGGGTCCCCCTCACTGGAGTGAGCCCCCATAGGTAGGACCTGTGCTTTGTTTTCATATACCCACAGGCTCTCAGCTGAGATGACCTCCCTGAACTCATCAGAGCTTGCTTTGCCAGACACCTCTGTCTGGCACCCTCTTCAGTTTTGTCTGACGAGAAAAACAAATCTCAGAAGTCTAGGCCTATATGGTGGGAAAAGCCATTTCATAATTTCTATAGCATTTGCAAAAGCAAAATAAGCAGTGGCATCTTATTACTGCAAGTATATCTGATATGCCCTTGTGCTCTGGGGTGTCCAGCAGTCGCACCCGCCCATTTTTTGGCTGTTTGTGATAGTCTCTATGGAGAGAGCAGTTGATGTGATGCTTCTTGTTGTCATTGCTTCCCTTAGAATATAACGTTCTGTTTGATTAAATTTTGAGGGTGGGGTCTATTAGCCACTCTCCTGAAGTTAGAGCAGTAGCTGCTTTGGGTGCAGCACTTATTCTTGTGGTAGGAGGAGCCCTCGTTTTGCAGTTCATGCAGGGTGATGCCTTAGTGCTTTGATTCTCCTAACAATTAAAAATCACCCCAATTGCAAAAACTGAGCATTTTTTAGGATAGGGTTGAAGAGAAGTGGAATTGATGTCAAAGGACAAAGTGAATTGTAGCTCTCATTTTTTATTGGCACAGTCAAAGATTTGGCTGTATCCAGGAAAAGATTCTAAGAAAAGCCGGCAAAAACATCTCTGTGGTAGCCTCAGACTTTCAGTAACTCTTATCGCAGCTTCATTAAGAAAAGGTAGTTTTGTCATCCCATTGTGCTTTTCACCTCGATAAAGACTGGCTTGTCTTCTGTTTTATGGTTTTTTATTACTGAGAAACACCAAGGCTTCTCTCTCCTGGTTGTGAAGTTGCTGTTGAATGTGCCTTTTCTTGGCTTCTACTGGTTTTTATGCAGGCAGCATTCCAAGGCCACCTTTTTGTTGTTCTGTATATTAGATTTCTATGGCAGCTCAAAATAAACACTTTTCCTTATTTTAAAACTTAAGTGTACTTTAAGAACAATTTTCTTAGAGGCAGTGAGCATGTTAGACAATGTGGGCTTTCTTGTTTGGGGGATACTGGGAAACACGGGAAACTAGAATTGTTACCATGGCAATAAGTCCTTCTCTGTATGCCCCAGAATCTCAAAGTGCTTTTCTAGGGAGTGTGATCCAGAGAAGGCTGAAATAGCAGGGAACCTCCAAGATTTTTCTGGCTGGTGAGGTTGGGAGCAGGGATGATTGCATGCAGTAGACTGCGAATGTGCGTGCCTGTGCGTGCTACGTGGATGCTTTATAGTCATTCGCATGCCATGTGATAGAGCGACCTTGCTGTCAGCTGTATATCACAGCACACTCTCTTGGGGCTCTTCATTGTGAGGCTGATGAAGGCAGGTTTGTGGGACGAAGTGAGGAAGTGTATTTAATAGTCACACAAGGTGCTGGGTACATGGTTTTCTGTCAGTTATCCCTCCCCTCTATCCCCTTCATATTTCATATCAAAACTTGAATTGATTTCATTGGTTCAGTTTTATTGACAGCTGTTTGGTAGTAGGGTTTTGAGTTGTATAGTACAGAACCCCAATAGGGAAGTGGGTCATGGAAGTATAAGGGAGAGGGGCAAGCTGTGACTGCTCTCTGCCCCGCACCCCATTTTCATGCTTTGTCTAGGGGTCTTGACATTCCTCAGAAGCCCCAGTACTTTCATCTGCTAATTTAAACATCCTTATGGGGCTTTGAGGGTGTTCTATGTGGTAGCTACTTGGCAGTTTATTATATAGTAGCAGAATGGGAATTGCAGCAAATTGTGTAATTTTGAGTTCAGTACTTTATAACACAGGTTGGTGGACATCACATCTGTGACAGTATTATAGGTAACAAAGTATTCAACTTTTAAAAAATGGTGTTTCTGGGGTATTGGTTCTGTTAGAGTTCCCTGGGAAAATTCAGATTTATGATATTTTGCATTAACAGTTAAAAAGAACGTTACATAATATTTCAGTTTGAAAATGAACTGACATCACTTCTGCCAAAACACTGACATGCGAGGGTGACAGAGAAGCGACCCCTTGCCCCTGCCCCTTGGTGAGGGGCTCTGATCTGGTATCTGTTAACAGTGCCTCAGCCAGCAGTAGCTTATAGCTGAGCAATCGAGCTCCTCTGCCCCATCCTGCAGGCTTAGTGTAGCAGTAAGAACCCTGGCAGGCAGCAGGTAGTAGAGAGGCCTTACATTTTACGCCATGAAATGTGTGCCTACCGCCCTTACTCTGGCCCTGAAGTAATGACGAGTGGGTATTTTGGTTCTGCAGTTTGAGAACATGACATTTGCAAAGCATCACGTATGTCTCCGTAGGAGTGGAAGCCTGCCTTGCAGTTTGTTGGGTTAGCGGCAGGCATGGCAGGAGGCAGTGCTCAGAGTTTTGCTGATTGTGAACCTCTGCCCACTTCCTGCTGTAGATAATGTCCTTCTTTCTGGCTGTAATAAATAGACAAAAGCTTAGGAATGGGCCGGCAGAGCTCAGGCTGAGGCTACTCTTTGAGGGCCCTTGGCCTGCTGGGGCTGAAATTAGGGACATTTAAATAATAACATGCTACACATAATTACATATTAAGAAGAGGGGAGCTGTTAACCGTATTTGAATTTCATTTGCTTACTGTAAATGTCATCTGAGTTCCAGCAAGCCCTCTGGCCTCCTAAAGAGTCTGGACTAGATTTCAGGGGATCTGGGTCCTTTTTCTTAGAAGCTTATAGCAGTTGTGAGAGCTGACCTATATTGAGTGCTTATTATGTGCCAGTTGTCCTTTCTGTATTTACTTGTACATAGCCATTTAATTTTCAAGGAAAACTTGTTTTATGATGAGGAAACGATAGACTAGAATAGATTTGGAATTTGCCTACACATCTTGCACTGGGTTTGCACCCTGCCTTTCTGCAGTAGTGCCCCTCTTGCTTTGGACTAGCTCTTAGAGAGAAGTACTGTTAGAGGCTCCACAAGGATTAGGATTCCAGAAACAAGAATTGGAGAGGGTGCGTTTTTCTTCCTAGCAATTTGTTTTGAAGGAGATGCATGAACAGTTTCACTGGGGAAGAGACCTCAGCAGAAAAGGGGGGAGTTAAAGTATTGATTAATGTGAGCATGTTTCAGGACTTGATGAGTGCTTGTAATTGAATTGAGACAGAATCCAAAAAATTGATTGGCTACCTTCCCTTTAGTTATAGCTGCATGGATGCATCTATTATCTTTCACGTTCCTTCATCTTAGTGATTGAGAGTTGTGTTTTTAATATGTTGTTGAGCTGGCAGGCTGGAAATGACATGCGGGCCACCAGCCCTCTCATGGGGGAGGGAGTTGGTGCTGACCTTTTGGGCAATAGCTGCCAAGGGTCAGAGTTGGAAGGGCAGATACAGGACACATTGGCACACCCTCCGCTCTTCTCTACATTGCCTTTTGTGGTATGAAAAGAGTCAATTTTTGGACCCCCTTCGAAATTTCTTTTAAGATTGCATTTATTTACTTATGCATATAACAACAGGGCTGTCAACCAGGCCAGAGGTGCCTGTGTACACGTGCGTGTGTGTGTATGAGTGGGGAACAGAACTGGCAGGTCCACTGAAATACACTGCTGAGGGGAGCAGCGGGCGAGACAGGAGCGAGCTGTCGTGCCACATGGGTCACCTCCCTGGCCGGGGTTCAAACTTGTACCACAGTGGCTGTAGATAGCTTGATAGCGCGGAGACACGCCGAGACTTTTAACTCCTCTGCCACCACCAGGAAGACCCCCCAAATCTTAAGAGAGCCCTCCTGTGTGGACAGAAATAATGTGCCTCACTTTTGCAGATTAATAGTGGACAGCATGCCCCTGGAGCCAAAAGTTTGACAACCGAGTCTGATGAAGGGAGGAGGCTAGGTCCCGAGCAGATGCTTATGAATGTTGGACATAATTGGCTTTCGTCAGCCTGAAACTTGCAGACTTAGGTGCTTGAAAGGTGGTGTACACTTTATTGGAAAGACAATTTTTCCCCACTTGCTCGTTTGCTATCGAACTGCTGATAAGCGCTA